GTTGAATACAGAGGATCCTCTGAAAGATGGGAAGTTAACTAGTATTCACTAAATCAGCAGCGCTTCATATAAGATTTAGGAATGTCTAGTCACCACATCCGACCTGATTTCAGTTTCCAATCCACTGTAACATTAGAGGAGTTATCTTGAAGAGTTGAGAATGGGGATGATTGCTTCCACTAGCCCTTTTACATGAGCCTTAATCTGGATTCAACCCATATGTTATTAATAATGAATCATGAAATACCATTTTTCTAACATATGGAGTATATTACTTTTCTAATACGTGGAAATATTCTTACGATCTTAATGTAAATTCTAAGATTTTGATAGCTTTCAAATTAATTTTAAATAAAAATAAGATAATATTTTGTTTTAGGAAAGCAGGTTAAAGATGGAAAGAAGCCAGAACCCTGTAAACCTATTCTTAAAGTGGAATACAAAACTACCAGAGTTGGGTAAGAATTAGGCAACAGTTATTTAATTATGATTTGGATATTTACTGTGTCTAAAGATGGAGTGTATGATCCAGGCTTGCCATAGACAGAGTGCCTCTTATGGGACATTCCATTGGAAGAGAGGAAGCAAGCAATTTTAGTGGATTCCTTATTTTTTCTGCATAATCCTGCAACTTCTACACTGTGTGAAAGGATCCTCTGACCCTCCAGAGCAACTCTAAGAGGCTTCAGAGGAAGGGCAAATAGATAAAAATTAGCTTTCCCTTCCTGCATTAAAAATGTTCACTGAGCTGAAGCCTTCCCACAAATGGAAGGATTCTTTTTTTTTTTTTTTGGTCTCTCTGGATCCAACCCCCATTTTGCAAAATAAAATGTGTCAAACAGGTATAAAAATTTAATATGAATTCAAAATGCAGAAATAAAAGTTCCCTTCCTGCATTAAAAATGTTCACTGAGCTGAAGCGTTCCCACAAATGGAAGGATTCTTTTTTTTTTTTTTTTGGTCTCTCTGGATCCAACCTCCATTTTGCAAAATAAAATGTGTCAAACAGGTATAAAAATTTAATATGAATTCAAAATGCAGAAATAAAAGTGTGTATTCATGGGTTCTTCAGTTTTATGCAGTAAAAAAAAATTATGTTCCAAATATGTTTATATACATCTATAAATATGACCTGGATATATCACCATCCAAATTGTTACTCTTCTGGAAAATTTTCATGGAATTTTAATTATCATGTCCCCAGACTGGAAGATGCTCCCAGATTTATTGATGTATGGGAGTTAAAGGAAAAAAGTAAGTTCCATTCCATGAATGGAAATATATTAATGGGATACTGGATGGAACCAATCATTTTAGTAAGTCTAGTGCATTTTATGTGAAGTCCCTCTTTTGATGAAGGAGTGCTTATGCTGAATCCTTGATAGAGGGATGGAGCCCGGGGAAGCTCTACAGTTTGTTTGGATTTGCTGTGTTTGGGGACTGGGAAATTTTTTGTTGGTTTTTGTTATTATTGTTTTTACTATTGCTTGTGTTTTTATTATTAATGTTTTATTATTGCTTGTGAGTCACCCAGGGTTATGTTACATAAGATATATATAGCGCAGCTATACAAATCTTTTAAATGAATAAATAAATTCTTCAGCTGCTCAAATTATAACTTGGAAGAGATTTATTTTTTTAAAAAAGTATCCATTATTCACAACTCAGTACACTATCAATTATTTCAATGTTTTATTGTTTTTGTTTTAATACCATCCAGTCCATATGGTAAGCCTATATTCTTGTACAACAAGCAGTTCTAGCACACAGAGTTCTTAATATATTATTCCAGGTACATAATTTAGTACTTCATTGTACTAAATCCAACAATGTTTTTTGATATTATCTTTCATTGTCTTAACTATCTATTTGTCTTGATTTTCAGGGAGCCTTTTATCATCTTGTCAGGTGGCTTATCATATGACACTGTTGGAAGAAGACCCTGTTTAACTGTTATGCATGGAAAGAGCACTGCTGTTCTAGAAATGGATTATTCAATAGTAGATTTTCTAACCCTATGTGAAACTCCATACCCTAATGGTAGGTTCTTTTTAATTTTTCCTTTGTTCTATAATTCCAGAATTCCTTCTCTTCATTGAAAGGGCAACTTTGTGCCTATAGCAGCATTCTCTATTCAACATCCAACAGAAATGTTGGAACTAAAGTCTAGAACTGCCACATTCCAGCCATGCTAGTTTGGTATTCTGAAAGTTCTAACATTTTTGAAAACTACCTCATTGAGGAAGATGACATATCCAGTTCAGATTTGCAAACTGATCGGCCATAAAATTATACAAATATTTAACCAATGCTCTTCTCCTTGTGAAAATATCTTCACCCTTCAGCTTACCATAGAATAAATTACTGCCATAGTGGTAAGGTTAAAAATAGGTAAAGTGTATACAAGAAAGTCATATATGAATTTTAATTTCTTTCAGCTGTTTTGGAACGAGTTTGGTCATTCCTAATTTCCAAATTATTATTTACAAAGTGAGCCAATTTCTAAGTCTGGTTATTGCGATCCAAATGGTGGAAGAAATCCATGTAACACAAGAAACGTCCTTATAAAATAATTTTAAAAAGTGAATAGATAAAAAAAACTAGAAAAATGTTTTTGAGCCCATGGCAAAATACTGGAGATAGTATCATACGTTAAATTTATTTGATAATTTCTATCTGTTGTCAGGACAGTGAAATAGCATAACATTAGACCAGTTAAAAACCATGAAATAATAAGCGTTTTTTAGTTTGATTAGCTTCTTCCTCATAAAGAGATTCTTGACAAAGGGCATTTGGTTAATTGTTACATAGTTAAGATTACACATTACTGTAAGCATCTGGTTGATAATACACATTCACTGTCATTTTTAATTTCTATAGGTTTATGATACTATCATACATAAATGTTTTTACTATTGTCTATGTAAATCATAGTGTTGTCCAGACATTTAGGATTGTAATTCCAATTATATACTTTCAATGTGACAAGGAACTATGCTGTTTTGGAATAATGGGAGCTGTTGTTCAATTTATTTGGAAGCTGCTGGATGGATATTATATATAGACAATGTTAAGATCTCTTGGCTCTTATGTTCTGGATTAGTATCTTATCTTTGGGTCTAATTTTCTTCTGGAGAGTTTCTCAATGGCCTTCAATCCAATTGTATAGAAAATGTTGAACTCTGAGATCTGGCAGGACCCTACCCCAAGCCTTCTGGAAAGCCTTGAAGACCTGGCTTTTCCCATCACCTCTGAGATAATGTTGGCTGGAGCCCAGTGAAGTTATTTGTGGATTGAGGGGTGTTTTCTTTTGAGAACACCAGGAATTTGGGGGGGGGTAGATTTTTTTGTCCCGCCTTTATTATTTTTATAAATAACTCAAGGTGGCAAACATACCTAATATTCCTTCCTCCTCGAATTTTCTCCACAACAACAACCCTGTGAGGTGAGTTGGGCTGAGAGAGAGTGACTGGCCCAGGCTGGCTTTCATGCCTAAGTCGGGACTAGAACTCGAGTCTCCTGGTTTCTAGCCTGGAGCCTTCACACTAGACCAAACTGGTTCTCTTTTATGCTTTGTTTTTATGCTCTATTTTATGGGTTTTTCCCCCCTATTTTTATTATTGTTTGTAGGCCACCTGTGGTGATGGTACATAAGATGGGCGGCTATATAAATCTTATAAATAAGTACATAAATAAAAGCATAAGATTTGATCTTTTTTCTGATCTCATTTTTGGGATTTGGGGTTGAGAGCAAGGTAGTTTCCTTTTTTCAAGAAGAAGGGTCTCTATATTTCTAAAGCCAGTAGCACATTGGGTAGTCTTAACCTATGCTAAAAGGCAGAGGACAACCTTTCCTATCCCCAGAAGCTGATTTGAGTGTTTTTGTGTTTTTCATTCTGTTCTGATTTGACTCATAAAAAAGCTGACCCAATTCTCTACTTGTAAATGAGGTGGTAATTTCACCTCTTTTGAGCTTGAATACAATCTTACCCAAGGTGGCAGAGAAGGAAGGAAAGAGGGAAGATGCTTCAGAGTGGTTATGGCTGCACATGTGCTTTCCTGGGATTGCACAGCTACCATCTAAATCAGAAAATGTTGGAGCTTCCTTAAGACACGGACAGGTGCAGTACATGCACCCATGGCCTCTCAGAAGCACATTTTTACCTTCAGGTCCAAAGTGAGTCACATCTCTATACTATTCCTAATTCTTCCTCTTGATAAGCATGTAATAGGAATGGAGAAGTGTGTTGGGGAGTTGCTAAGGAGGCTTTGCAGAGACAGAGAAATGGGAGAGATGTTTGGAATGTCTAAATTGACTGGCTTGGAAAATATGATCCAGGTACTTAAAATTAAAAATAGAAGAATCTGGTTAATTTCTCAACAAATTTGAGGAAAACCAGGGAGAGATGTGTTGGCATGAAAATGGAGCTTTTGGAGTACCCAGAATTTTCATGTGAACCCTCGAAAGCTTTTCTTAGTTGCACCAATTCACCAACTGCACAGCTTCAATGCTGCTTGCAGTTTTCCATGTGAGTTGCTTCTTTCAGACAGTGTGATTATCAGTCAGACAAGCAGATGGACCTAGCATTTGGCCAGGAGGAGAGTGCAAGTTATATTATGAGTTCTTCTGCCTTTGCTTGTCAGTGAAAGGTTTTAATTCTTTCTGCCCAGGATCAGCAAAGCCATCAGAGTTTTCTTTGACTCCTCTTATTTGCCACTCTTGTTCTTTTGTATAGATTTTTTGGAGTTCATTCTTCCTGGGCTTCTTAGATGTATATGTGGCTGGATTTTTATATAATAGTGCTTAATTATGCCCAATTTGACTAGTTTCAATTTTTCTTAATTGGTTTATTAATGTTATAATGTTTAGGGATCTTTACTGGAAATTAGTAATAAAGATTTGGCAGAAGTGATAAAAATACATGAGTAAGTAAAATACTAAATGTGAATTATTCTGATATTTTCTGACATTTATACACAATATTCAAATTGAAATAATCTCTTGTCTATTAATGCTTTATTGGTGTCTTAGTACAGTCTTTGTATTAAATCAATAGTCGCTAAATATTTACCAAATGTGAATTGTTAATTGGCCTTCTTCTTTGAATATTTGGATCTTTTCTTTAGATTTCCAAGAGCCATATGCTGTGGTTGTTCTCCTAGAAAAAGATTTAGTAGTTATTGACCTTGCACAAAATGGGTAAGAGATTAAAAACATGATATGGAGATACCTGTTTTTTTACTTATTTTCTTACTCAGGTTTAACAAAATACTGTTGTTTCTGTAGTGGTCAATTTTTTATGAACTAGGCTTATTGGACCTCTTGAAGAAAAGGTTTTAATGAAGTTTTGACATAATTAAATTTAGTGAACTCATTTCTATAGTAACTCTGCATGACATGCTATGGACATTCTCATTTTATCTAAATATACATGCTTGAGGGTAAGTATGAGTGCTGATGTGTATCCACATCTCTGTAAAATAAGATATTAATGAGACTTGTGTATGAATATTTTCAGGGTGAAGTAGCACATATAGTAGATTGTACGTAATGCTATCTGCCTAACAGTAGAATGGGCACTACAGGAGGAATAAACTTTCTATTCCTTCTGCAGTCCTCTGTATATTCCAAATCTGTTCCAGAAAATTTGAATTAACCCTCTGGTGTAAGTATGGAGGCAAGCAGGGTTTCAGGAGATAGACATAGTAATCTCAATGCATCTCACTGCATAATCAGAAATTGCTTTGGGTAGCGTTGGATACAGTACATGTAATTGATGTTGTACATTATGTTGTAAGTGTCCTTGAGGGGCATGTACATTCTTCTATGTATTTACCAGTTAGACCTGCTACATATGATTCGGTTCTGTAAAGTACTGAATGATTATTTTTAATTTGCTGTGTTTATAAAGTGGCTGGTTAATCAAATTAATATGTGAAATTATGCTTCCATTATCTTTTCATTCTTTTGCTCTAGCTTTTTTCTTCATTAAATTAAAATGTTAGGTAAAATATTATTGTTCCTTTAATTACATCAGATCATAAAACAGTTTCAAATAGCTTTTCTTCAGCATTTTATTGAAGTGGGGGTTCTCTGTAGAATACATTGAATAAGTCACCTCATTTGCTTCTGAATGTTTGTGTGTGAGTATGTACACTGGTATGTCTTTGGTAATTCAACCAAAAAAAAAAATTGCAACCAAAACTTTCATGTGTCACATTGATGAAGAATGTCCTAAAGAGGGACTTTTTAATACCTCCAGTTATTTAATACCTCCTTGTTCGTATTTATCCAGAGATTCAGGTTAAACAAATGCAGGTTTACTCCTTTTATTGTTTGCTTTCTGAACTTAAATTTTCACTTATTCACACACATGGAAACCAACTCATGTTTTCAGTACCACCACAGTGTTTAAGAACAATCTTGAGGATCTTCCTTTGTTGAGTCTTCTTAAAGGCCTCTGTACTTACATTTTAATGAATTTCATAAACTGAAATCTTCCAGAATAAAACCTTGTTTCTCTGGTGTACTTTTAATAGATTTCTTGTACTCCATCTTTCATACACATATTTTTTTACAAACAGATACCCAAATCCATGGCACAGGATACAATATATATACATATACATACACATGCACATGCACATATAAATCAACACATGCACATATGAATCAAACAACTATAAATCAGTAAATAACACTAGTAACAATGTAGTGACTATGCTGCAAAGATGCTACTGTGCCAAAAAAAGCCCATACAAGTGGTGTATTTCTTCTGATAATTGTATTCATTTCTTTTTCTCTTTTAATATTTTTATCAATGAAAAACAGTTTGAAAAGTATCAAATTTAATACATAAAAAATACATAACAATCCTTGTCTTTTCATCACCTCATTAAAGGTATCCTATATTTGAGAATCCATATCCCCTGAGTATACATGAATCTCCAGTCACTTGTTGTGAATATTTTGCTGATTGTCCTGTGGACCTTATTCCAGCACTTTATTCAGTAGGTGCACGACAGAAACGTCAAGGCTATAGTAAAAAGGTAAAAAAAAAGCTAATACCTTATTTTTGAAGTACTGGTCTTTACATATTGGTGGACCATTATGATGATTTAATTAATTCTTTTTTAATTAGGAGTGGCCTATCAATGGTGGAAATTGGGGTATGGTCACACAGAGTTATCCAGAGATTATCATTACTGGGTAAGTAATAATAACTTGATGCTGCAAAAGGAAGGAAATGATACATGTGATTGCATATATCACATTGAGAGCCAGTGAGGCATAAGCGGAGAGACCTAGGTTCTAGTCCTCCCTTAGGGAGACCTAGTCACACTCTCTCAGCCCTAGACTGAGAAGTCAAAAAAACATCTACCATCCAAATTGAACTGTACCATAATCATAGTAGATTATGGTCCATAATCTTCAATGAAGGGCCTTTTACCTGAAGTAGATTGATTCAGGAGGAGGAGGAGGAGGAGATACTGTATTATACTAACTTCATTGTAACTCACAGAGATACACTGTTCAGATAGAATACCAGGAGTCAATTTGAGGTAAATGAACCTAGCAACTTAAGTTGCTTTTGTACTTCATCATTCTTTGACATCTCAGAACTCTTTCATTTACTCTGAAATACACTGTAATTGTTTATCTGTAATAGTATCTAAATTCCACTGTCTTTATAATTCTGTATTAAAAAGATAAAAGTTACAACTTGTTTGCATTTATAGCTATTATATATGCTGAATACAAAATGTGACAGGCATTCATTCTGTGAATGGTTTTGAAAGAGATTATGAAATACATGCAGGTTAAAAGAAAAGCAGTTTTATAAGATTCTGTCAATAGTTTTATGAAAATTGTATTCAGGCTTATATCGAATTCAGAAAAAGCATAGTTTGTGCAATTTTCCATTCACAAGGAAATATATTACTCTTTTAGTAAGTACTATATGATGCTATTAATCCCCCCAGAATAGTCACGGTGTTGCTGTTATTGTTACTTTATTTATTGATCTCCAACATCTTTAGCTGAATTAAATATTACCGTAACACGATGACAATCAAATCCTTATATGTTTAATTATGTCAAGTAACAGGTAAGACAAGCCCCCAGCATCTTGAGATTGAACTGCTGAAGTTTGGTGACAACATGGCTGACTGGTGGTGGTGCATTTTTTCCCCTTTCATTCCCATTTTTACTCATAACATCCCCTCCCTCCCCAAAAAAACTCCTGGAATTCCTTTTTTTGGGGACAAAGGTCCCAATGTTGCATAACAATGACTGAATTTTAATGGTATAATATCATCCTGTATTTGAGGAAGTAGCAAGTGTAGGAATTGGAGTAGTCCTCCTGCTCCTTGTGCCATTTTTAATACCTGTGTTTCTCAATCTTGGCAACTTTAAGATGTGTGGACTTGAACTCCCAGAATTCCCCAGCCAGCATGGGAGTTGAAGTCCACACATCTTAAAGTTGTCAAGGTTGAGAAACACTGCTTAATACTATTATAGTGCAATTCCTCACCCTTTACAAATTTTATATCCAAGTCTAAGAGAATGAAATGCAGTGCAACAAAAAGGTATTTTAGTTTAATTTACTTTAATCTTTAAAGTTTCAGAGGTTTGCATTCACAGTCGTCTTCTCATAAATGAAAGGATTGCTTTCCTCCATCAGAAGTATCTGATTAAGAATATTTCTTGTGGTTGATTTGGGGAAGAATGTGATATTTCTCCTTTATCTGCAGTATGTTCTACCCCATGAAAGTCTCTTAGAAAGTTTAGGCATTCTGAAATTGGGGGTGAGGGGGGGGTTGTGCTAGAGTGGCAGGGACCACGTTGCTCTTCCTGATCACTGGTGAGGAAAAAACTGAATCCAACTTCATAATTTTTAAACAAGGTATACAGAAGATGAACTAAAGTAAATGTTTGGGTAACCTACAGAGCACCCTGTAGTAGGTATTATGCCTGCTTTAGGACCATGGTGTGAAGAATGTATGTTTGCCCTGTGTAACTACAGCCATCAGCTGTTGGTATTCCTATATTGTTCAAGATTTATTTATGTTTGCCCTGTGAAACTACAGCCATCAGCTGTTCTGTTCAAGACAGAAAAGAGAATTAAGTACCAAATATTTTCTAAAATGTACTCACAATGCAAAATGTATCACAGTAGATGCCAAACAGTACTACATGCTGAAAATCTTGGTCATAATATTTGTGTTATGTATATGTCTTTTAATAAATTCCATTGGACATTCTAATGCATTCAAAAAATAGAATTGAGAACAATACAGAAAGGATTGACTTCTTGTGTAATCTGTACAATTTAAAAGAAAACTCCTCTTAATTCATTAGAGCATATTCTCTAGCAAGTAGGGCAAACCAAGATTGTAGCCTTGGTTTGCCCTACTCTGCAGAACAAAAAAAGCTCCAACCTATTATCTTAATGAGAGCAAAAACAACTAATCCTTCCAGATTCTAAGATGGGGATAAAGAGGGAACTCTTTTTTGCATTTTAAGAAAATTAAACCTCAACATGCAGCAATTATATCCCATGGGGATAAAAATTTGTTCTCTACGCTTAGGCTGGAAGAAAAGAAAAAGGGAAGTCTAATTTCTCTCCAGACAACAAACAGATACATCAGACTTGTAATATTTTATCTAAGACTTGGTATAAGACTCTGCTGCCCAGAGTCACCTTGTGTTGCCTCCCAGAGTCACCTTGTGTGAGATGGGCAGCTATATAAATATGATTGATAAATAAATAATTTGTTTGTTATATCGATGAGCTAATAGCATGTCAGGTAGGAGCTAAGAAACCAGTACAGCTGTATAGTTGTTACATAACTTTAGCATAACTAATTAAATCTCACTACTCTTCAATTTCTAAAAATATTTTTAAAAACATTTCATGTTTTAATAGGCATGCGGATGGATCAGTCAAGTTTTGGGATGCCTCTGCAAGTGAGTAATTTGCCGCATAAGGTCCTTACCCCCCCAAAAAAACCTTTAAAATGTAGAAGCTGTTATAAAAGCAGGGTAGTATGATTGGCATAGGGCTGACATTATTTGTCTCTTTTTTTCTTTGTTCATTTGAATATTAAAATACTGCTCAGTCTTGCTTGGGTCCCACTGAAATGAATAGACTTTAAATTAGTTGTGACAAAATTGTCTATTGTGAATAGGACTTAAAACTCAGCTATTTTTGATTCTGCATTCTATCTTAGTGCCATATCATAATTAATAGTTCTCTTAATATATAAAATTAAGTAGTCATTTCACTAGAAATCTTTTATTTCTCTTAAAAGGTATATTTGAGGCTCAGACTAATGCAATATAGAGATTTTAATGGGGAATATTGTTCTCCCACAGTAACTACAGCTCAGATGCAGCTCTTTCTGTGCATTGATATGTGATGTCAACCAGTATTAATGAAACTAGCACTGGACAATATGACCTCTGTTTCAGAATTGCATTGTTTGAATAATATTTCTGTTTCTAAATGGAGAAATAGTCTCCCCAAAATGATGTCATTTAAATATATAACCAATTTCTTAATTTATTCCTAGTAACTTTGCAAGTACTATACAAATTAAAAACAGCTAAAGTGTTTGAAAAATCTCGAAATAAAGAAGATAGGCCAAGCACTGACATAGTAGATGAAGATCCATATGCCATTCAGATTATCTCATGGTGTCCAGAAAGCAGGATGCTGTGCATAGCAGGAGTTTCTGCACATGTCATTGTTTACAGATTCAGCAAACAAGAAATAACAACAGAAGTTATTCCGGTAATGGTATTCACTTAAATTCATTTCTACTTAAGTTTCATTCACTTAACATTCATTTCTATTGTTATTAAAATCCCTATATGTTCACAGTGAAATTATAGTAACAATAACAACTTGCATAATTTTTGTTTCATCAGTTCTTCAGATTGAAGTTCATTAAAGAGACAATTATGTTTTGTGATTACTTTCCAATGCACGCTTCCCTGAGAATAAATCCTGTTGAAATAAGTTGGCTTAGTCATTACAAATACAAGTACAATTAAACTGAAACTGCTAAATTTAACAATGAAATCACTTCTGTGTAATGTTTCTCCTTTTACCTTATGGCTCAGTCATAGGAGATGATTAGGGCCTATCCATTTTGTCCCTGGTGCTCTCTAGCATCTCTATGCACCCATGGGAGAAAAAGTTTAATACAGGTAGTCCTTGGTTCAAAGTTATGATAGCACTGAATGAGTGGTACTTACAACCAGTCTGTGAAATTCCAGCCATTCCAGCACTGCCATGGTCACGTGATCATGATCCGGACACTTGGCAACTGGCTCGCACTTATGACGGTTGCCGCGTCCTGCAGTCACCTGATCACCATTTGCGACCTTCCCTGCTGGCTTCCCTCAAGCAAAGTCAATGGGAAAGCTGGCATGGAAGGTCACAAGTTGCTCCTGTAATTCACTCTCTCTCCTGCCACTTTCCTACGCGGCCTTCCCCCTCTGCAGCAGCCACCTGTGCTCACTCCAGACTACAGCAGCCACCTGTACGTCCTCCCACCCTCCGCAGCACCCACCTGCGTGCTCTTCTGCCTTCTGGAGCACCCCCCCGCCTGGCTGTGCTTGTGCCGTAGCAGCCACTTACCTGCCCGCCAGCCTGCTTGTGAGCCCCCCTGGACTTGCAACTTCCTGCCAGTTTCTCCATTGACTTTGCTTGTTGGAAGCTGGCCAGAAGTCGCAAGGAGGTCCTCGCTTAACGACCCGTGATCCTCGCTTAATGACAGCAACAGGAACTGCCAGGATTGCCATCGCTACGCAATGCAGTGGCATGACATCATTAAGCGAGGACTACCTGTAGCTGCTTTCAGCTAAGAAATGTTACCAGTTTTGTCAATTCATTTTCATCACGTCCAGGAAAATTGGCTTATTCTATTAATGAATGCTTAAACATGGTTATGGACTTGATGGAGACTAAGAACTCAGTCTAGAGAAGATATAAAAATCTCTGGTTGGCTGCCATTTATTCTAGATGGAAATGCTTATGGAGTCTGTTCAGTGTTGAGTAACAATAGTAGCCAGTGTTGCCTTCAACCAGAGTAGGATGCTGAATTAGTTATGACTGTCTAGCAGTAGTATTTGACTACTGGCACAGGTGTGGGGACATGATGTAGGAGTTCCAGTGATGTGGAGTGCTGGAATTAGCTTAATTGACAAAGATGAGCCAAAATCATCTCTGTTATTTCAGAGTCAGCTGTTCTAGCTTCTTGTAAGCTTTTAGTAGCAGCTCAAAGTGTTGGTGTTAATCTTTAATGACATCACCTAGAAGCATTTGCCCCATATGTAGCTTTCTAGTACTCAAATTTGAAAGTAAAATTCTTTAATGTTTATCCTTGAAGTTAGATCCATGGTGACATCTCCATAAAATACCTGCTTTATTTTCATAATATTTTGATAGATGCATTTCAGCTTGGGGATATTGCCAAGATGAGTTATTTGCCTATAAGTGAATGTGTCACTAATTTTGAATTCTTATTACCAAGACAGTTGAATGTGCCATTTCATTCTCATTTGCAGATGCTTGAAATACGGCTATTGTATGAAATAAACTATATAGAATCTCCTGATCCTGAACAAATGCCACCATTGCCTACTCCAGGCACAGGTTCCAATCCTCAGTCCATCATCCCCCAGTCTCATCCGTCCACTAGCAGTAGCTCATCTGATGGGCTTCGTGATAACGTCCCATGTTTAAAGTAAGTATAATAATAGGGTATTCTAAATAACGGGTATTGCTTAAACTGGTAGAAATACTTTAACATCTTTTGTCACATATTGTTTTAGTTAGAACCTCATTAAAATATAGTTAGTTGCACAATCTGAATACAAAAGGACTGGTGACGGAGAGCTATTGCTTTTTGGCACTGGGTAATTTCAGCCTCCCTGCTTCAGGGGCTGACTCTGGCAAGGCTTAGGAATTGTTGGCTTCCATGGCTACCATAGACTTATCGCAAGTCATCTCTGGCCTGACACACGCAGGTGGTCATACTTCAGATCTCATGTTTGCCTTGGATGTTATATCATTTGGAAGTGGAAGGGCTTTGTTACCCAATTGTTATAGTCAGATCATACCTTTATTTAGTTGCAGTTAAGAGTCATTCATGACCTCTAAAGGATGGCAAGATTATTTGGATGGCCCACCCCAGGCACCTAATGGATTCTTTTGGTGTCCAAAGGAAGGAGTCAACAGAGATGTCTCCTGCCTGGATGCTGTGACCAATTTGCACAGCACTTTGTTGACCAGAATTGCTCAGATTCACCATAGCCTTATATCCCCAAAGGCAGTGTCTGTAGTAGTAACCAGAATATTATTTTGCCCTGTTCTCTGAAATTCCTTTTGGACTGTGAGCCCTGAGGAAGTGGGTACAGAGTGCTGTCTAGGCTATCCTCTGCCACATGTAGATTGGTCACCTTTCCATCTTGGCTACCATGAGGAATGGTCAGAAGAGCAACATGTGGATTCATGAGATTATCAATACCTCCTTATGTGAGGGGCAGGTCTTGGCTGCCTGGTAGAAAGCCATGGGTGCTCCCCTTGCTGAAGAGAATTCTTCATCATTCTCCATCCCATAGTCTTAGACAATATTTGTCCAGTTTCCAATATTCCCTTTCTGGGGAATGTCATTGAGATGGACTCTCTTCATTCTGGGCTCAGGCCTGCATATGGATGGAAACAGCATTAGTCATTCTCAACTCTCTTTGCCCTTTTAGTCTTCTCAGCAACTTTTGATACTATTAATCATAGCTGACCAGGCCACCTATGGACCTTCCTTCCTTTGTTTATTTGTACAACTCAAGCCGACATACACAATACCCCCACCTCCTATTTTCCACTTATAAGGTTGAAGATTGAGACCCCTCTTTTTTAGTGGTTCTGCTCCTCCTCCTGTGGACAGTTTCAGTCTTTTGTAGTGGAGAAGGAGAGGTCAGCCCAGTGGACCCTTACTTATGGAATCCCATTGCAGTATTTTAACTTCTGTATGAAATTGCTGAGATAGGTAATCCAGCAATTCAGGGTATGGGATATGCTGATTATACCCAACTATACATTGCTACCCCAGATTGTGAAGGTCTCATGGAATGGGTTCAAATTGAATCCAAGCAAGACATTAGGATTCTCCTTTGGTGCCAGTGTTATCCCTGGATGGACAGGCATTACCAGCCCAGGAGCAGGTTTGTGAAGTGAGGGTTCTCTAATGTAACCTTACAATAAAATAGAGTTACTTCTTCTGGATGTGCTTCTTGTCTGGACTACCTTGCAAGGCTGACAACTGGCTCCCAGCATTGACACCTGTATTGTAGGCTATGATGGTTAGATCACGTAGAGAGGGGCTCCATGTTGTCCTATATTTCCTGGATGTCAGGAGAACTAAAGCTGGAAAGGGCTGCTTCCCCATAGTAGTGCAAATGCTATGGAATGGGCCCCCCACTGGCCCCCTACCTGGGAGTTTTCAGGAAGTTATTAAAAATTGAGTTCTTTTGAACAGCCTTCAGTAACATCTTCAGTAAGAGCACCTTTTGTTCTTAATATTTTTCTCTCCTACTTTGTTTTTGTTTTTGCAATTTAGTTTGTATGTTATTTTAATTTTTTAAATGTTTTTATTGTAACATAACTGCTGAGAGTTGCAGGATTGTAGCAGGATAAACATTGAATAAATACATAAAAATGCAGGAAGAGAGCATTTTTATGAATTCATTGTTTATAGTTGTATGCTTTGCTCTAAACATTTGCTTGTGGATGTTTAAAGAATCTCCACATTAGTGAGTGTATTCCACAGTAAATGTTTACAGCTGCTCTAGCTTGCAGAAACATGTAAAACCAATAATGAAATATATATTTTTTGAAAAATAATAGATTTAAACTAGAGTTCCACAAGGGTGAATATTACATACTTTTCATTTATGTTACAGAGTTAAAAACTCTCCCCTTAAACAGTCTCCGGGTTACCAGATCGAGCTAGTTATCCAGTTAGTATGGGTGAGCGGTGAACCTCCTCAGCAAATAACAAGTCTTGCAATCAACTCTGCCTATGGATTGTAAGTATATTGGTTTTACATTTTATCTCACTCAGATGTTGTATTAGAAAATGAACTCATTAATTTATCTCCCATTATTTTAAGGTCATATATATTAATCTACTGATACATATTACAATAGTATTGTAGTCTTAATCTAAATTCCCGTTAATTACAATAATACCCTATTGTATTTCTGTATAATTACTGGGAGAAATAACTATTGATGTGAGGTGTGTATAAAATTCTTTTTGGAAAAGATTAATTGCTTTTAAAATAAGGCACACCTTTGTAAAATTAACTAAACTCACATGTACATACAGTCAGGTCCAGAAATATTGGGACATCGACACAATTCTAACATCTTT